CAGCAGAAATTAGCATCAAAACTCAACTGTGATAAATGTTTTCTGCTAATTTGCTTCTATAGTCATAAATTTTTTTTTTTTTTTTATCAAATCAGTAACATAAATACTGACAAATGATATATTAGCAGATATGATAATAAAAAGGCTGAAATTTAAATTTAAAAAAAATAAAATAAAAAAAAAAAAAAAAATCAATAAAAAGTAAGATTTACATTATGAAACAGAAAAAATATTTCAGATTATATATCATTCCAGAAAGTATTGTTTATATAAAAGTAAACTGTACAGTTAGTGTTTGTGTCACTTTTAAATGAAATTTAAAAAAAAAAAAAAAAAAAAAAAAAAATCCAATATTCAATTTTGATTCCTTTAACATTTCCAATCTTAAGAGGATATACAAAGAAAGTATCTGTTCATTATACCATCGGTTTGCTACATAAAATTATTGTTAGGACATTTTTGTCCTGTCCCCTAAAACTTACTATTTGTGTTTCTAAACCTTATTGAAGGTCTCATGAACTCATTAATATGGGGGAGGAGGCATTGATTTTGCAGAGATTGAAAGGGTTAAAGGAAAATGTAGAGATAATCATTTTGAGGAAATATTATCAGTTAATGTTTCATGTTCTGAAAAGTCCATTTTTAATTACCATTCTTTATTACTGTAATACAAAGGGTTTTTATTTTTGTTTTTTTATAACAATTGCATAGTTATTTGTGAAGTTCCAAATTACATGTAACCATTTCCAATGTACAATGATTTTAACTTCCAAACAAATTATCCTAGTAAAAGAGATCAACCTGTAAGTTTTTTTTTTCAAAAAGTTTGATACACAATTACAAGTTTTCAGTATGACACACCGTCATCAGAAAGTTCTTGCTGGAAAATAGTCTCAATATTTGCTTTATTAAGCAAACTTTTATTTGAAACAACATGTAGAACTACTTCAAAGACAAAGACATTTAAGGTATTAATGACATTTTTCAAGCAGCTTAACATCTAAAATATCATGGATTCTCTTTGAAAAGAACTAATTTATGCAAGTACAAAGAAGATCAAATTTACAAATAATGATAGTGATGAATTCACGCATAAAACTATCTTGTACAGTTATTTGAACATTGTTGAAACCTATTGCAGTTTAAAATCATCAATTAAAATTTTTAAATTTTCACGACCAATATTTTCACTCTTGAGACCATTTAAAAAAGTATTCAAATTTTTAATTTATATTCTTAATACAACTTGATATTAGACTTTCTTTACATTTCTTAAATTAGTTCCATAATTTTTAGACCAAATTTCCCTACTTGCAGTACAAGAAAGGAAAATAATTTACATAAAATTTTTAAAATATCAAAAGAGAAAGAAAAAAAAAATATATTCCTCAAATCTTTTTAAAGTTAAAAAGAAGAATGTTTTTATTATTCCCCAAATTTTTCTGACCAATCATCCTACATTGTAAACATTGTATTTAAACATAAGAGAAAAGATGAATATTGAAAAAAGTATCAGGAATAATTGTTAAGTCTGTCTTCAATATTTAGAGTTAACAGCAACAACTGAAAGATTTTTCAGAAATAAAAGGACAAATAGCAAAAACTTTTATGTTCAAAACATTTGCTTTGCGGGCATTAAATATTTACTAACAGTACCTGTGAAAATGTAGTGCAGAGCATTTTATCACACACAAAGAAAATCTACCCTGCCTTAAATAGACTTGCAGATCAATCACAGGGTGTATCAAGCCAAGCAAAGTAGATGACCTCTACTTGCTTAGTGCCATTGCTTCCTTCCTTACATAAGGACAGTCCGCTCCCAACTGAGGAGTTGAGGCAGGAAATTGACTCTCGTCATCCACTCAGCTGAATCACTGAACATAGCTTGTAGTCAGCATCTGTCCATATGGTACAACCACCTTAACAACATGGAACACAGGCTCTCTCTCTCAGCCTTAATCACTTCCCTCTGGCTCTAGTGATGCCTGGCCTTTCAGGTCCTGCCTAAATCACCTCTGAAGTGCTGTTGGTCACTGTAGAGCCAACCTTCAGAAATGGGGATCTGCCAATGAAAGAAACATCTAGTTTGCCCCAATCTTGAAGGATCCATGTACACTTAATGACATTGTAACACCAGACAAGGCTGTGTGTGTAACACTGGATGGATGTGGAGTAGCAATTTGATAAAAGAAGAACCTATGAAAATGTCAGTTTTCCTTGTTTAATATTCTGATGAAGTTAACAATTAAATAAGATCTTTGTGGAATTCAGGATTATAAATACCTGTAGGAAAGATCTATGTTTATAAGAAGAGATTCTTATATAATCATGCAATTGATAGGTTATACATTTTTTTTTTGTATACGTATAAACATAATACTAAATGCCATAGTACTACTGTTGATGGCTGCATATAAGAAAACATATTTACATACTTTAATAAGAAGTGGTTAATTCTTTAAGTTAGCATTTGGATTAATCTGGATCTGTACCATAAATCCATCAAACTGAAACAAAGATATGTACATCATGGAAAAAAAAAAAAGAAAAAAGACTAATTTTGCACCACACAAACAATACAAAGCTTTCTATTTATTACACTCCCTAATATAATATGAAAGCCCTGAATTTTCAACTATCGCAATGAACAGGTATTCTCTAGAGCATCCTGTGCCTTGAGTGCCTCTTGGGTCTTAAACTCATCCCAGACTTCAAGTGAAACTCATACATATGATCTATCACTAAAGATGCTGGAAAAATGGTTGGTTCCCTGTACCAGTCCAATAAGTACCTGACTCCTGTCATCCTCTGCCTTTACAAGAGCCAGATCAAGCCCAAAATGAAGTACTGCTGCCGTATATGGGTAGGAGCTGCCCAGTCTTCACATTCCCGTCTTGATAGAGTCCTTGTGGGTGACAAATTATTTTCTATCATCCAAACCCCTTTTCTACAGATGAAACATCACAAGCCTCTCATTATTTCCATGGAATTACACTCCTTAGTTCCACAAGTTCTAACCTTCATGTTGTGATAATAGAAGATCTGCAAGAAAGGTAAAATGTTCTAAGAACCTGGACACAAATTTACGGTGGATGATCTACAGATTAAAAGTACTTTCTATCGATAATTTATAGTAAATCCTTCTTGGTAGATTTTCAATTATCACAATGTGGGATATTTAATAACAAAAGCAATAATAATAATATAAACAAAAAAGAAACTAAATGAAATTGACACGATATACCCAAACACTTTATTAAATTTATAATTTTAGTGTTTTATCTCCCTTGTGCATGTGTGTAGTTACATCAATGTAAATGTCACTTTAATATGATGACATCCTAAATCACATCACACAAATTTTTTTCTACTTTATCATTAATTTTCTTAACATTGTTCTGGTATATAAACATTTTTCCCCAAATCATTTCTTTTTGTAAATAGTCTAAGTCATTTTAATCACTCTAAACATTTTGTTAAGTGTAGTTAAAAAAAATAAGAATAAAAAGGAAAGTTATAAAAAGAGAAAAAAACAAATAAGATATAATAAAGAAGTTAAAAGGGTAGGAAGAGAAAGAAAGTCGTAAGACAAGCCAAATCGTTTTTATTTTATTAATATATATATATATATATATGTTTGTTTTCTTCTCTTCTTCCAAAAAAACACCCTGTCTTGGCCGCATGTAGGAAGATCAGTACAACCAAGCATACACAATCGACAACATCAAATAACCCAAGTGATTAGTTGCCGTTTTCTGGGGGAACTTATATAATGCACATCCTAAAGCTAGTAGCAAATTTTATTCTGGGCATGGGCCGAATACTGATCATATTCAGTTGGGTCACTCATCGAAGAAGTCTGTTGTTTATTTAGACCCAAAACTTCTAGTGACATGGGAGCAACAACATTGACGACGCACCTAGATTCGGCATTTAAAGGTGTATTTTTACTAAGAATTTAAGACAATTACTCTGAAGGTCAGGAGCCAGTTCTACCCTGACAAAGATTTCATTCATATTTCTAACCATGAAGTTCATGACACCAATAAAAAAAAGAAAACTGATTTTTTTTTTTTTTTAAAAACAGAATTCAATAAAATGAACACTCAGCTATTGATATACATTATGAAGATGGAACCATCATATCCTCTTATTTCATTCATTAGTGTTGCTAAAATACTCAAATAGATGGTATCTCTTTTCTCATTAAATCCTTAATATGTGCAATATTTTTTTTTTAAATCTAAGTTTTTAGTTTTTATCATGTGAACCTTTGCAACAGAATTTTATCCCATTACAGCCACTACCAACCCTATGACAAATTCCAGTCAATATTTTGTGGACAATATCACAACCACACACAAAAAAAAAAAAAAAAAAAAAAATGGAGAAAAGAAAGGAATATTTCAGGTATTATTTTGTAGATTAGAAGAAAGACTTTTTTTTCACAAAAATGGTTAAATTTTATCTTGAAATTCAGTGACCACAAAGTTAATTAATAAAAACAAAGAAACATTTAATTCCAAGTCTCTAATTGTCTCTTTCATAAGCAACGACTCATAAGCTTTGGCCTTGTACCATACATACTAAACAAAGCTGAGTAATTATAAGAGGAAAGGGCAGAATGGCAAAATGAAGGAAGCTAAAGGCATAAAATGAAGAATATATGAAGAGACAAGTGAAAAAAAAAACACTAAAAAGATTTTAAAATTGCTTCTTACGATTTGCAATTATTTTAGCAGTGGCAAAAAAGGCAGTTGCAGTAACATGCTTGTTGGTTTCACAAATAAAGCAATTTCAAAATTCTTTACCTTGCTTCATATTGCAAATACACCTTATTCAAAACATTTATAGCATTAACAGTCTGTTAAAACAAAAGAAGAGAAGAAAGAAGATACTGATCAATTTTTTATAATTGAAAAAAAAAAAAAAAAAAAAAAAAAGGAAAAAAGAAAAAACTTTTGGTTCTATTACAATAAGACAATTACAAAGCTAAAAAGTTATCTTTGGGAGAGAGATGGAGAGAGAGGGGGAGATGGGAGAGAGAGGGGAGATGGGAGAGAGAGGGGAGATGGAGAGAGAGAGATGGGAGAGATGGGAGAGAGAGAGGGGGGGAGATGGGAGAGAGAGAGGGAGAGAGAGAGAGAGGGGGGAGAGATGAGAGAGAGAGAGGGGGAAATGAGAGAGAGAGAGGGGGAAATGAGAGAGAGAGGGGGAAATGAGAGAGAGAGGGGGAAATGAGAGAGAGAGGGGGGGAAATGAGAGAGAGAGAGAGAGAGAGGGGGGGGAAATGAGAGAGAGAGAGGGGGAAATGAGAGAGAGAGAGGGGGGGAAATGAGAGAGAGAGGGGGGAAATGAGAGAGAGGGGGGAAATGAGAGAGAGAGGGGAAATGAGAGAGAGAGGGGAAATGAGGGGGGGGAAATGAGAGAGAGAGAGGAGGGAGGGAGAGAGAGAGGAGAAAGGGATAGAGAGAGGAGAAAGGGATAGAGAGAGGAGAAAGGGATAGAGAGAGGAGAAAGGGATAGAGAGAGGAGAAAGGGATAGAGAGAGGAGAAAGAGAAAAGAAAAAAGGAAGAGAAAAGAAAAAGAAAAGAAAAAAGAAAAGAAAAAAAAGAAAAAGAAAAGAAAAAAGAAAAGAAAAAAAAGAAAAAGAAAAGTCTGTCAGGCTAGGTAGAAGAATATCTACACATTAATTGGAAAGTGACAATTGAAATCTCATTATCTGTCATATGAAATGATTGAGAAAGCTTAACCAAATGTTTTTTTACTTTGAAATTTATTAATTCTGGTTTGGCAAAAGAACTTTTAAAGTGTGAAAATTAAGACCGATGTGAAATTCAAAAGAAAAAGTATTCTATTGAAAATAACAATTTTGACAAGATTCAACAAAAAATTTATTCATTTGAGTTTTTTTAGTTTTTTTTTTTTTATAAATTGTAATTCTTAGACTGCAAGTAAGTCATTTTTTCATCTATATATTTACTTGCATTCTAAACTATTAGTGCTATCAAACAGTTTTAAATAAGTGATGTTTTTTAAATGAAGCAAGTAAAATAAATAAATTAAACAACTTTAAATAAAAATTAATTTGATAGCTGCAGGTATGTGTTTGACAATTATATATTTGGATTTTATGATCCTTAGATGAAAGCAACCTCTATTTTGAAATCTGATCTTGTGGCAATCTGTTAAATCTGACATCTATACGTCATTAAAGGAAATCTGATACACATACAGGTTTTGGAATGCATTTGCTTTTTTTATGCAAGGAAAAAGAAACTAAATTCTATACAAAACAGAATTTGTTTTTACCTGTTATCATTTATTAGAAAAAATATATTGATTTTCTTATATTCATCTTGTTTCTAATATAAAATATTTTAAGTTTGATTTTTTTTAACAGCTGCAAAAATGTACATAGGTATGTGTACTTAACCAAATCTGAAGCCTTCATACCAAATGCAATCAACAAAATCCACTGAAAATATTGTAAAATATCTTTAGTTCAAAATTGAGATTTAGACTACCAATACTGCTATAAAAGTCAGCGCCATTTCAAGGTAAACATTGATTGATTGATTTTTTTTTTTTTCATGAGCTATCAACCTTTTGCAGATTATTTAAAGCGAGAAAATATTTTTAGATTGTAAGAAATTTTCAGAGATAAAAGTGATTTTTACTGATACAAGTCCAACTACTTAACCCAAAGCTAGAGAAGAGGTGGATCTATACCTTTCCAAATGGTATTTGCGCATAAGTAAATCTAACAAACTCAACTGGAACTGGAACACAATTTCCAATTCTGAGCTGTTAACCATTAAACCAGCCACACATTCAAGCTTACAGCACTTGGTATTCCCAAGCAGTAGCCCATCTAGGCTCAACATTGCTTAACTTCGGTGATTGGATAAGAGTCGATGTTTTAAAGTGATAAAGCCAGAAGCTCAAAGTTAAATGATAACATCAAAACATCTACATAATACTCCCTGCGTACTATTTACTATAAGCAAACTCATGTTTGGTAAAAAAAAATTAAATGAAGCTATTTTACTGTTTTTGGTGATTGACTCATCAATAAATTAACTATGAAAGCTGTGAGAAGAGATTTAATTTTTATTAACAAATAGAAATTTCAAATGTTCCTTGCAATTGTGGAAAAGATGATACAGGAGAAATCTGCTGTCCTCTGAAAGTCAAACACAAAGAACACAAGAAAACTATATCTGAAAGAGAAATAGAAAGAAAAGATCTGGTATTGTAGAACATATATCTCTAGAGGAAGAAGAATTCACATTACCTTTCCTGGGGGTGCAGGGCTAAATAGTGGATAGGGAATGTTGTTGGAATGTGAGAGAACTGAAACAGCCACACAGTAAAACCTGGACAAGTGTTTAAATCAGATCAGTATGTTTATTCAGAAAAGAGAAGAAATTGGAGAGTATTCTTGCATCTAGATTGCTTTTTTTATGGCTTATCAACCCTTTGCAGGTTATTTAAAGCCAGAAAATATTTTTTGATTGTAAGAATTTTTGAAAGATAATAATTTACTGATACAAGTCCTAATTAACACCTAGCTGGGGGTGGGGGAAATGAGATTGATTCATACCTTTCCCAAGGATATTTGCGCGTAAGTGAACATAACAAACTTGACTGGAACTAGAACAGAGCTCTCAGATTTCCAATTCTGGGCTGTTATCCATTGCAGCATCTGTACATCCAAGCTTGCAGCACCTGGTATTCTGAAATTGGTTACCAATCTAGATTCTATCAGGGTCTGACATTGCTTAACTTCGGTAATCATATGAAAACTAGTGTTTCAACATGATATGGCTGTAAGCTCTTTATACCACCTGCACATCTAAGCCTACAGTACCTTGTATTCCAAAGTGGTTACCCATCTAGGAACTAATCAGGCTCGATGTTGCTTAACTTCGGAGATAAGCCATCCTGCATCTACTGAATATGCAAAAGGATCTAAAATAATGAAAAGGATCTAAAAACAATAACAGAAAGAAGTTCAAACCTCTGAAGAACTCATAGAATGAAAACAAATATTATTGGACATTTAAAACTCTTACCAAACAGCTTGTAAAAGGAAAGCAAACATGCTTATAAACACAAGTTAGAATCAAGTTTTAACTTGATACAAAAAATATTATTCCAAAAGTCTAACACAATCAGCTTGTATAATATTAAAGCAGAATTATATATCTAGAACAGTAAAGATGGAACCACTCTATATACAATTTTAAAATCCGACAGCCAAAATCTTTCATACTGTTGTAACCGGAAACTAATGAAACGGAAGCACCATTTCAGCCACTGTTCAGACATGGAAGTATCGTGTCGGCCATATTGTTGTGTGAATAAAAAGCAGGAGTATCACTTCTGCCGGCAGAGAATTAACCAGACTAAACTGTCTTATTATTATTACAGACCAGCTTACCAAGTTGTGACAGAAGCAATTTCAAGTAATGACCTAAAACCTACTCAAAAACGCAAAGTAAAAAAAAAAAATTACAAATAAATTGTTTCAGTAAATCAATCATATTCAAAGTAATGAATGACATTGACAATTTGGATGTTGATTTCTTCTAGTTAAATGCGAATCTAAGCAATTCAGGCTATTCCAGGAAGATTTTCAAGCCTTTGTGCTAAATACCACAGCAGCAAATGATCTTTTCCCAGAGATCAAATCAACCCACAGGACTCACTCCTTCAATCAACCAATAATACCACACTGGACAAGAACTTTGAGGGAGGGGAGAGTGGAAGAAATAATCCAGACAAGTTTGCAGACAAATTTAATCTGCACTTGCCTGGTTGCATGAGATCTACATCTGAGAGACACACACAAGTGCATTAACTTCAAAGCAGACTTTCACAAAATACTCAACAAATAAATGCTTTGCTTCCACTTAAAGAAACTCTGCAAAGATGCATGAAATAAATTATGTAGATGTGAGTTTAACGATCTATATTCTGATGTTCTTATTCTTTTCAATCATGGCAGAGTATTGAACTGAAGTTTAATAATGTCTCAGAGAAGTGGTCATGACTTACATATAAATAGGCTTTATGACCATTTTAGAACTGGAAGAAATAAGATCCATTATTTATTAGATTTGATAAAAAAAAAAAAGTAGATATACACCTCAAAGAGAAGTAGAAAGAAAAGATCTAGTATTGCAGATCATATCTAGTGAAAAAAGAATTCACATTATCTTCCCTAGGGTGAAATACTTTTGTTTTTTAGGATTTTTTTTATAGAGAACATAAGATATAAATCAAAGATCTTTACAACAGTTTATCATTTGGTTTCACATGAAATTCCATAAAGTATCTTCCAACATAGCTGTCAATATCCAGAATTACTTGGCAAATAACATCATCTATAAATTTGAAAGGCCACACAATTTGTTTAAGAAAAATCTCTTGAGTAACTAAGTGGTTAGAACAGTATTCCAACCAAGAGACCAGAATTCAAATCACACCAGAATTGATTTGTCAAGGAGGTGACGACTTGATAATATCAGCCTGGAGTCAGGGGGATGATCCCAGCATATGGCACCATCTCAACCAAGAAACTGGTTGAACCAAACCTTGAGAGTGAAATTGTGTAGACAAAACTGTTTGGAAGCTGCCAATGGCTATACGAGATTTGTAATCACAGCTCAAGTAATGTGCAGACAGAAACTCTTTAGCTTTGGTTGGCAATTTGAAAAAAAAAAAAAAAATACAAGGTTGTATCAGCCTATAAAACACACAAAGACTGAAATCTTTATAGGAAAAAATATATCATATGAGTTTGCAATCTTTCACAGAAATAATACAACATTCAACAACTCTTATCAGAAATAATAAATGCCAAAGATATGTTTATTATTTAACATTATTTATATTGCATAAAGAACCTTTTTCTTTTAACTATTATAAAAATAACTCTTAAATTTTTAACTATTTTAGAATAGAAAGAGAAAATAACCACACCAGCCACAAATTAATTATTGAACATTTTAGTGTACATCAAAGCATAATTCTAGATGTGATTTCTGTTGTCAAAGTTTTGACTGTTCTGACCACAAAATCATTTTAAAAAATAAAATCTATATTGGGATTATCTTTTAGGCTCCTGAAAACTAAGAAATAATTGTAAAATCATGAAAAATAATGTAAAAATATGTGATCCTCACCCAAGCTTCCCATTGGCCTTCTAATGATTACCCCCTCACATTCCATTTCAATCCTCAATCTCATCATTGTGCACCAAAAGCTGGGGAAGGACATAATGCATACTCACATGGTAACATGGCAAAAGGCAAATGCCACATCAAGAACATGAACTTCATTTCTGGGGAGGTACTGTGGGTTTGTAAACAGTGACTATTACAGCTAATAATGCAAAACTCTTCGGTAAATCGAATCAATTTCTCTCAGTCACTGTGTGTTTATCTAAAAATAAATAAGCTTAAATTTACCTTCATCCCAGCCGTGTGCCAACGGCTTAGTGGTAGAATCCCTGACTGACACCAATTCAATCAAGTTTTGATCCTAGTTAGAGGAAACTGAACATCCAGCCACAGTGATGAGCTGTGATACAGCGAAACTGTCTGTGGATGACACTATATATGCTCCTGAAAAATCTATTTTGGTTGAGC